TCAGCTGTCAGGCTGGAGAGGTTGACTTGTCACTGAAACTGCAGGAAAAACAAAAACMCTCTTAGCRACATTTTAGTATTAGGAGAGTCAAGGCATTATTTTATTTCTGGTCAGGATGTGCAACAGRAWGTTTCATCCACACATAGTCCRRATATGCAGAGAAAATTATTCCATGAYACATTSATTTTACAAGATTTTCYYCAAACTTTATACAGTCAAAACCCATAGAACTTCGCTRGTTCAATGTTCATTGGTCCAACATTGCATAGTTCTCAGTATTTGGTTTCCTRTTGRATCTTGATTTTTTTGCCTCTGATGCTAATTAGGTTCTCATTCTTACCTCTCTTTTCCCAGACCAGGTGCCTCTGACCACACCAGGGGTGAGGTTTGGAGCTGATGTTCTGTTCATGGCCACTGATGRCCGTTGATGGTCACTGATGGYCACTGATGGCCGTTSATGGTCATTATCTTTTGTGCTGYTCCCAGTCTGTTGCAATGTTGAGTTCATCAGATCCCACCTGGTGGAAMAGTGCCCTGGAARGAAACTTAGAATTTCTTTTCCTGAGGCAAAGGCAAACAAAGCTCCTGACTAAAAAAATTTTTAAACTGTTATATTTTCCAAAAGATTTGACCTCTGCCTTCTGTGTTTATCAGTGTGTTCAGTCTCCAGGACTTCCAGAGTGGTCAAGGGGAAAAAGGACAGGAGAGCTGCAGGGCAAGTAGCATTTCCCTAACAACTCTTTTGCCAATTAAATTACCTGACTGTAGGCTGACTTTGATGCACAGCTTATAGAATGCAGTCACTAATCCACCAAGTCAAATTGTGTTTCCCTGGCACTTATTTGGGCCTTTTAGCAATCGCAAAGGTTTCATTTTACTTGATTCATGTCCTGTCTGTTGCTCGACCTTTAGGGCTCTAGAGGAGCGAGCATGTTTTGATTTAAATGAAGCCTTTTCTTAGTTGTCCTGGGCTCAGAGCTCTTTGGCAGAGCTCAAGGGTTGTTCTGATTGCAAGAAAACAGCCACAGGCCCTGGGTACTAAGCTGAGGAAGGAAGCAATGCTGTAGACTGGCCAAAGCCTGGGACAAATCCAGGCACATGGAGCCCCRTGAGGGTGGKGWGGCCTTGGCACAGGGTGCCCAGAGAAGCTGTGACTGCCCAATCCCTGGAAGTGTCCAAGGCCAGGCTGGACAGGGCTTGGAGCAACCTGGAATAGTGAAGGTGTCCCTGCCCATGGCAGKGGGGTAGAATTAAATGGTCTTTATGGTCCTTCCAGCCCAAACCATTCCATGATTCTGTGATTTCTGATGTAATATCCTGAATGTCATACAGAGATTTTGCTAGGCATTCTGGGGTRCAGTGTTGGACTTGCTCAGGAGAGGTTATCAAGCAATCAGCACTCTTTGTACAACATGATAAATGTAAATACAGCAGTGGCACCAGGGCACTGCAGCACAAAGAGCATCAGCTTGYACACTCCAGCTCAGGAGAGGGTCAGGGTGGTCACCCTGTGCCAGCCCATGAGGCTGTTGTTTGTCAGAGCATGGGTGGCCCTGTGAGAGCTCTACAGAGAGTGAGGGAGGGTTTGTGAAGTGGGGACAGAGAGTGAGTGTGTGGGGTTGCACACACACACACTGGCATAGCCATGATCCAAACCTGGTGTGAACAGCACACTCTTGTTAGGAGTGCTTGATGGATGGCAGCTAAAGCTGCTGAGCTTCAAAGCTTATCTATCTGCTGGAACATCAGAATTTGGAAAATTATTCTTAATCAAGTCATTTACAAGAATGATTAAGCTGAGAGCCCTGAAAAGCGCAGACAAAAGGCCATCGGGGTGATTTTTTAAGTGACAGAACTTTTGCTTTTACGGTGTCCTGGCCTGGACACTTGCCCTGTGCTGAAGGAGAAGGACACTTGAGGGAGGCATTGCAGGGTGCTGTGGGAGGGGTCAGTAGAGCGTTAGACACCCATGTGTGTGTCACGGCAGCCCAAGGCAGAGCTGCAGGGCTCCTGATGCAGCTGGATCAGCCCCTTCACTCCTTTTTTCCACAAGCTAGCATCCTGTGAGGTTGGTGGGCATGGCTGCTGCAGGATCACTGGAGAAAGGCAGCCTTGATGCCCACTGTGGGACCACTTGGGAATTAATTTCCTGGCTYCCTGCCCATTTTCCTGAGCACCTGACCCATGGCTCCCACACACCACCCATGTTSATCAGTCTGCCAGCCAGGTCCTTCAGCTGTGCTGTGAGGCACCTAAATGGGGCAGGAGCAGGACCCCACCTGTGTGCCCACCACTGACTCCTTCCCCAGTGCAGGAGGTGTCTCTTGGAGGGGCAGAGATACCACAAGACTTGGGCTGGAGGGAGGGGTCTGGACGCAGCTCCTGGCTCAGGGTCTCTGTCTCTGTCTCTCTCTCTCTGTGGGGAGGAGGAGGGTGGAGCTGCTCCTTCCTGTGAGGAGAATTCGCTGCCACTGCCGGAGTCCAGCCCTGTACTGCTCCTTCCTTGCTGTGGGTGAGTCTTTGCTCGTGGGAGCAGCTGTTGAACTGGGCCCTTACTGACACCCAATTTCACTGGAAAAGGACCTTCACCATCCACTGGGGTATCTCAAGGGAAAACCAGGGACCCCAGCCTCGTCCCCCCTCCCAGAGGGATCTCCCTGGCTGCAGCAGCAGCAGTTGTGGAGAAGCCCGGCTGCCACTGCCCAGCCCTGTCATTTTCTGCCGCTGCCTCAGACATTTTCCTGACACTCTAATCCAGCACTCCGTATCCACCCAACTCCTGCAGCCCTGCTGAGGCTGTGGAGTTTCCTTTACATCGTGTTTGTCACTCCAGGGCTGTGCCTGCCTCTGCCATTGAAGCACTCGGAGGTTTCCGCYATCCCGCCCTCCCGCCATTCTCCCGGTGAAGGAGACGCGGCTGAACTCGCGCCACAGCGCCCCCTGCAGGCGCGGCGGAATCATCGCCGGGAGCCCCCAGCGCCCCTGCCGGCTGTGACTGGAACTGCACCAAAGGGGAAGGTGCTCGGCAGCTGAGAGAAGGCTGTGCGTGGGTCTCTGGTTTTGTTTGTTGTTGCTGCCGTTGTTGTTTTGTTTGCCTGATTATACATGTACATACTAGTAAAGAACTGTTATTCCTTTTCCCATATCTTTGCCTGAAAGCCCCCTTAATTTCAAAGTTATCATAATTCGGAGGGAAGGAGGTCATGTTCTCCATTCCAAGGGAGGTCCCCTCCTTCCTTGGCAGACACCCGATTTCATACTTTGACTGCCCCAGTGCTGATGCCAGTTGGATCCAGSTCAGAGGGAAAAGGAGGCTGTAACCCAGCACCTTCCCTGTTCCTGGAGTTATTTCTCAGTGAACTCCTGGCAGGCTGGTGTCCGGGTAAGACCTTCGCAGCTCTGTGGCTGCTGAAGCTTGGAACAGCCTTATCCCAGGGATCAGCCGTGCAGGCAGCAACCACAGGAGTGCACAGCCAAGAGGTGACACAAGAAAAGGAGCCAGGAGGTACATTTTAAATACTTTTATTTCTTAATTTACATAAAGGTATATATTTGGCTTATCTTTCTTTTTATACTCTGTGATTCACAATCAATTGCTCTTAAAAAATAAAATAGTCATTTGCTTCTGAAAGAAATCAGAAAACTATTTTATACTCCTCCCTTGTATAACAAGAAAATATACTAATACTCCCGTACATCACATACAAAAAGTGATTGTAAGTGCTGGTTTACCAAACAATAAAGCAAATGGAGAAGAAAACRAGCAGTTGGGACGGAGGGTGCTGGGAGAACTCTGCTTCCCAGAGCACAGCCAGACATTTATGGGATTTAGTCATTCTGACTGTAAGGAGAGAGTTGGCAGCTTGCTGCCTTTTGGGTCATTTTCTTGCCTCTTTAGGTAGGTTCCATWGCCTCAGTTTCCCACACTGTGTACAAACCACCTCGTTGCCAGTGCAGAATCAGCTGGAGGGAGTTAATGCTTTAAAAAATCTCCTTTATGAAGTGGAGTAGAAGAAAACTCTGGTAATTAACTGAGGGGCAGCTGGAGCCTCCCTGGTGCCTCTGAACACCTGCACAAACCCTGGTGAATGCAGAAAGGAACTGGAAGGAGCCTGAGCCTCCCTCTCTTAGGCTGGAACATGTGGGAGCAGGAATTCAGGGATGCCTTGGTGCAGGTAGGACTCATTTCTCACTCCCTTGCTTGCTCCCTTCACTCTGTCCTTGTTTAAACAGAACCCACAGCATTTTCTTCCTGTGCACTGAGGATAAAACCRAGCTCTGACAGAGACTGGGGCCTGCACAAACAAGGGCTGCCAGTGACGTTACAGAACACTTCAGTTCCCTTTTCAGTGTTGACTCCTGAGAATTAAGTTTAAGGAGAATTCCTAATCTCTGAACCTTAGCAGAAATGTTCCATTTTGTTGACAGCAAATGCTACAACAGAGAGAGCCTATCAGAAAAGCAATTTAGGAAATGTGGTTAATCTTCTTTGGTCTCTGAGATGAAATGACTGATTGTTGGGTTGCTTTTTGTTTCTTTTTAAACAGCTTAAATAGGAATGTCTTAATGGGAATCAGAAATTCATGTGCCTTTAAAGCCAAATGTTTGGTTCCCAGACTACAGCRGCTGTATTTCCCCTCTGAGTGTAAATAGTGGCATGAGGTGGGAAGTGAAGTATTGTTTGGGATTTGCTTTGCTTTGCTTTGTTWTTTCTAGCACCTGCTTGCCCAGGCACTCGAGGAACACGTCTGGCTCTGGTTCTTTAGCCAAGTCTTAGAGCTATTGTTAAGGTATTTCAGGTGACAGAACCCTTGCAGAGGAGTCCTGTGGGGTCTGGGGAGGAGGAAAGGCTCACGGGCTTGTAAGAGTGGCCAGCCTGGGCAGGGAATGGCTCTGAGGGAGCATSTGGGATTACAGCCACCTCTGCTGCAATGCTGTGCTGTGGGTCCCAGCACGTCCTGGCAGGCAATGGGAAATAAACCCAGATTTACCAACAGCACCCAAGTGATCTTATGGCACATCCAGGACAGCAGCTCCCTGCCTTAACTCACATCCAACCCCCCTCTGGCATTGCCTGAGGTGATTTAGTCTTCCTTGGAGTCCAAGTGCAGCCCCTGGTCAGCCATGAGCACAGGAGTGAGGTGCCTTCCCCTGCTCCAGTTGTGCTGAACTGGAGGGGGATCTGAACTGTGAGAGAGGGCTCAGAACAGAGGGAGTGGGGGCTCCCTGTGGCAGTGCCCTCTCTGTGACAGTGCCCTCCCTGTGACAGTGCCCTCGCTGTGGCAGTGCCCTCCCTGTGGCAGTGCCCTCCCTGTGCCAGCCTGGCCCTCTGCAGGGTCTCCCTGTACTCCCCTTCCTCCCCCATCCAGCTGACACAGCATAAATTTGGCTTGTGGAGGTCAAGTGCAGGAAACAAGACTCCAGTGGAATGGCACTGTGACATGCTTCTGCATTTGAGTCTAACCCAGCTCAGGCACTGGCCTTGTCTGAAAGCTCTCAAAAAGCACCTTTGTAAGGGTACAAGTGACACCCCAGTGACAGGCTCTGGGACAGGTCAGGGTTGGGTGTGCAGRAACCCAAGCACTGCCCCAAAGGCAGAGTGTCAGCCACCTGCTTTGGAATGTTGACAGGGAGAATTAGCATTGACAGTCCAAGTGATATGGTATCATGTAAACAAAGCACGAGGTCACTGGCACAGCAGTATTGCACTCCCAGGCCCAAGGTACAGCCATTCAACAAGGTGGATTTTGTTATTTCAAAAGCCTGTGAACCTCCTAGGCAAGGCTGAATTTAGCATATGGAAAACTCTAGAGCCCGTAGGGATTTCTGTCCAATGTTCTTCTGGGCCTTTCTGTGACAACCACCAGCATACCCAGTGCAGTGAAACTCTCTCCTCTGTCCCACTGCTCAGTCTCAGTGATAGGTAGGTCACCCACTGGAAATTTTCCTGTGGTGCCCTTGCAGGCCCTGGCACCAGGGCACTGAGAGGGGGAGAGCTGTGGACGTTATTCATGCCTGCTATGGTTGCACAGGTAGCTCCAGATTTCTAATATTTAAATAAAAACTGTTTATCTAAATATATATATATATTTCATCTAATGTCTTCAGCAGAGATAAAGCATCCTATAACATATTTAAATAAAAAATAATAATCTGGATTGAGCCTTCAGTGTCAAAGAATAGGTGATGAACAGGTCCCAAGCTAGTGCAGTCCGTGGGAGTGGGAGTGCTGGCAGAGCAGCAGCATTCCATAGGACACCAGCTGCCCTACAAACAGTGTGGCTTCATTGGCTATAACTAAAACAATTTACACAATCTACAGTCGCTCACTTGGGCAGCACTTTCTGGGTCCAGTGGACAGTTGGTTTCCATGCTCAGGGGACCCTGTGAATGTCCTTGTGCTCCAGAAGTTCCCGTGTTCCCAKCTGCTCATCTCCTGGTGCCTGACCCTGCAGGCTGCAGCAGTGGGGGATGGATTTAGTGCTGGAGARCCCCTCTGGGATGTGGAGCTGAAGGATCCACTGGTATCCAGTACRGGAGGGCTTCGAGCTCGAGATTGGTGGTGTGGGAGCAGCAGTCCACGTGTCATTTCCTTCACTGGCAGCTGCAAATGGAACAGAAGGAGGTRGTTACTGGGGATGGATTGGTGATGGTGCACCCCGGCTTTGTGGTGGGGGCCAGATGAGAAACCCCTGGTTGGAAAAGCCTGCCCATTGTGGAGGCAGCACTTTGGGATGTGCTGTAGTCATTTGGAACAGAAAAAAATGCACTGTGATCCAGGCCCAGTCTGCTCCAGGACATGAGCAGCAGGTGTAGCTCCTGTGTAGTACTTAAAGGCAGATGGGTAGCTACAACTGCTCTTGGTGCAGGCTGGAGCAGCTCAGCACATTACAGGCTCCATTTYTGTAGACTGTTTTTGACCCCCTCAGCAAAGGGGGACTAAAGCAAAGAGGGACTGCCTCGTGCCTTTAATTGTCATTTTTGAAACTGCTGTCCCTTGGAGAGCCCAGCTCAGGTGTCAGCCCGGCCCAGCTTAGTCTGCTGCTGACAAGGCAGAGCAGGCACTGCTGGTGGTCCATGCTGGCTTTAAGGAGCATGTCAGCACCTCWCTTCACTGCTGAGGTAACAGTGGTGGCCTATCTAGCAGCCAACAGCTTTCCTAGATAACRGGGCAAGGATAACCAGTTCTCTCACTGCAGGATTTCCTGTGAGAGCGCCTGTGCTTCATGTTATGCAGGAAATTGCCCCTGACCTTAAAAATCAGTGACTGCTGCATTACAGAAAAATTCCCTATAATGGTGCCGTGGTTTCTTTCAACCTGTATRAAAGTGAACTAAAAAAGAAAAGTGCAGTGAAAAACGTTGCTGTGCCCAGGACCCAGGTGGTCACTGGTTTATAAGGCAAGTTTCAGCAATAGCACCAAGTATTTCCTCCCAGTTTTGTTGATGGCTTTTTTTTTAAAAAAACAAAACAAAACAAAAACAACTTTCTCTAAAAGCTACTGATAAATAATATTGTGTGAGTACACACCCAGCCCAGAGCCTGCAAGCTTCAGACAGCCCTATGCCCGAATCYACTCCCCTCTGTGGAAATAACACATCTGTTGTGCTAGAGATTGTATTAAATCTTTTCCCTCAAAAGGCCATTCTGAAGTGTTGCATTGAGCTCTGATTTTCTGATTAGTCTTTCAATGCATTTAATTTATGGGAAAGAAATCTCCTCTKCAAAAATTTGCTTTAATTAATTTTGGCTSCAGTAAAATGCTGGGAAGTGTTTATCACTTGTGGTGGCTCCGAGCGGCAGTGCTGTGGCTGTGGGGGAGTGATAAGGACAGCATGGGCACAAGGGACAGGGTGGGCAGCAGGAAGGGGACGGTCCCTCGGGCTCGGTGCTGCCTCCYTGGATTAAGGGTCACAGAGGGGACAGTCCAGCATCAACCTGCAGGGTCAGGTGCTGCCAGGAACCACTTCCTGCAGAACGTTTGGACTATGCCAGGAATTGTGGTTTGATAGCAGTCCATGTTTGACCCAGAGCAGGGCAGAAGGATRTTTTGTGAACACCAAAAAGTTTTAAGTTCTGGCCTGGAACAGTCACACTGCTGGTGATCAAGGGGACATGGGTAACTTGGGCTTTTCTGCTCAAAGGAAGGGAGCCTCAGGTTCTGGAAGCAACTCCATACTACAAAGAATGCTTGAGTTGACTCATGGTTTACCTGTTCTTGATTTGCTCTGCTTTGGGCTGAGCATGGCAGAGGTGCAAACCAGGGCTGGCTAAGGAAACTTCTCTGCAATTCATAAGGAAAGAAATGGGCTGACAGGGGTTTGGAGCAGAGGGGTAGCTTGAAAGCTACTGCTGGTTTGGGTCACTCACCTTCTCAGACTTTCACAGAGGCTGGTGGCATCACGAGGTGATTCACCCTGGTGAAGGGAAAACAAAAGTGATATGTGAGAGCTGCAATTAGAAAAGAAAYGGATTCTGAATAACACACCAGCCTGCTAAATCCAGGTTTTGGTTACTTAACAGTGTCTGAAGGAGTGGAACATAAATAACTGTCCTGCACCATGGTACAAAGCTAAAACCCTCTGACACAGRGGTGCCTGATAGCAATGCTGACAATGGCTGGAACATGCCAAGTAACATTGCTGGCACTAATTGACCAGGATTTGGGAAGGTCCCAAAGGCATCCAGACGTAGCAACTATTTCCCTAACCCAGTACAAGATTGTACAGTGAATGTTGGTGTCCTTCAGCTTAACAACACAAATGTAAACAGCCACCATGGATAAAAATTAAATTAAGAAAAAACCGAGTTGTGTTTCAGTTTCCAGCTCCTGAAGCCCTGCTGCTATCCCAAGCACCTGCTCCTGGGTGATGGATGGCGTCTGGCAGGGACTGCAGTGTCACCAGGCAGGAGCTGTCCTGCCATCAGGGCAGCAAGGGGACAGCTCCTGTCTGCTCTGTGGGACTCAGGGACAGCAGCAATAGTCGTATAAAGTCCATCCCTTGTACCTGCTGCTTCTTGCAGTACATGTCCTGAAACATTAACTCAGCAGCAGCTCCTCTCCTGTCCCCTCCCACACTGTTCATGTTACTCAGGGACAGGAGTGAGTGCTTTGACTTCAACTAAGAATGAAACTGCCCCAGCAGTGGTTTGTACCTCTGCTGTCAAAGGCATCTTTCTGCATCAGTGAAACCCTCAGACAGGTGCACAGGGGGCAGCACAGAACTGCCACTGCCCGAGGCCTGACAGGTGAGAACTTCTCAGGAAAAACCATTCTCCTTTGGACACACTGAAACCCAGTTGTGGCTCTTCACCACCCTTTGTACCTGATCCAGAACACTTTTTTTGGCTGAATTGGATTCAAACATGTTCCAGGATAAAAACTGAGCAGTGCTTARGGGACACCTTCCAAGAAATCACTGCATCAGGAACTGGCCCAGTTCAGCCCACAGCTCTTAACATCACACCAACCCCACAGGYCTCCAAGAGGTATGGAAATCTCTGTGCTTTTTATGCCTTTCCAGGCTATAAACTGAAACACTTCTGATACAAGAGCTGACCCAAGTTTCTTTGTGCAAGTCCCATTCTTGGTAACCCCACTGGACTGGAAATTACATTGTATTGAATATTGGAATTGTGCTTTAGTAGCAGAATACATCAGAGGAAATTACTTGGGAATGCTACAGCCAACTTCAGAAGCAGGAAGAGAGCTATGGAATGTCACAAAACTATCACAGAACACTAAAACTCCAGAGCTTTGAGTGAGCCATAATGCTTGAAAATCATGTCCCTTGCCCCATCATTGCATGCTTTTGGAGGATACAGAATCTATACAGAAAAAGTTTGTTTTGCCATGACTTTAGCAGAGAGAACCCACCTGCATTGCTGACACAACCATAAATAGACATAACTTTCCTGTTTGTATCACAGTTCAGCCTCCTATGGGATAAAATGTACCTCCCTTTTATTTTAACACGTTTCTCTCAAGTTCTGCTTTATCTCTGTTTCACAGATGGGAACACAGGCCTGGAGGGGCTAATCCTGAAATGCATTTGGAAGATTTCATGGGAAATTAGACCGCACATGATTTGAGAACCTGCTGGGGAGAGAAATGACTTTCAGGGATCACACAGGAAGCTGGTGGGCAGGAGGAGGAACTGAAAYAGTCCCCAAATTTGAGACAGTGCCTCCTCAGTCCCTCTGAAGCCCTGTGCTGCAGACAGTGATCACTGCCACAACTGATGGCAGTGGGGCTCAGCTTATGGGTCAGGTGGGATTTTGTTTACTTTTGTTAAAGCAAACCCACAAACAACAAATTTTAAACTCTCTTAGGTGGCAAAATCTAGTATATGGGCCTAAACTAACAAGGCTCAAGAGCATCYAAATCCCTGATTAAGTCCCACTTGCCTTTCTAACAATGATAATCCCACATTGAATGGATCAGTGATCACTGGCTCCTAAATTGTTCTGTTTTCTCTGCAGTGTTTTCTTAAGATTGTGAATGTTTTCATTCCTTGAAGAGAGTAGGGTGGGAACCAGTGTGTTGTTTCCCAAGGAGGAGGAAACTCACTCAAATTGCCTTT